TGGGAACTCGAGGTCATCCCTCGTCCCACGAGATTCCTTCAGGATTATCGGTCTTTTGCCGATTCCCAGCAAATCTCGTGTTTCTAAACACCCCTCATCTAAATTTTCGACAATTGTCAACTCTTTTCTTAAACCACTGGTAACATTGACAATATGAGGATATTTACAAATGAACTGCATATGTCGCACTTGTTGAGTTGTTGGTTCACGGGATACAGTACTAATCTAAATATTTGTCTGGCCTTTTTCCATGCATGCTAAACCTGCAGCTACGCGTCGGAATCTCGAATATCGCTCGAATTGTTCGGATTTCGAGTTGCCTGAATTTCCGGGCCCCATCGTAATTTCCTGTTGAATACCGTAATTCAATCTGATCAACCTTAAGCTATTAAATCAGACCAAACACAGTTGAAACGGACGCCCTTATCTTCAAACGTAATTCATTTTTCTTCAAGAAAAGTCTGCGCTTGAATAATTACGTAGGAGTTGGTGAATCCTGTTTCCATCAAATGAGCATAGGTCAATTCCTTTACGCTTAATCAAATCTCCGGTCGGAATTTAAATATGTTATGAGAGATAGGTTCTTTAATTTCAGCTCAATTTATGTTACTTCATGTCTAGTTGAAATTCGAAAATAAGTTCGGTCAGGATAGTGATGAATTTCGAGCAACCCCCACCCAACAGTCCGAAAGGCAAGATTGAGCATTGAAAAAAAAAAAAAAAAAAAAAACGAAGAAACACATTTCCAGCCATTGGCATGAATCGTTTTCCACGCGCATATGATTCTGTCGAAACGAACTGCTGCTCACCCACGCCGGAAAAATTTATTCGATCTGCCGATAAAACGCGGAAAAATTTCCAAAAATACCGGATGCAATCTCGATCAAAAAAGGCAACTCCTCCGAAATTACCTTACTTTAACAGTACTGTACACTGGTAAAGTATCTAAGAAATAGAAAGTTACTCTTTTTAAGGGAAAATCGACAGATCCACAGCCCCACAGCGGAAGTCGCACTTCCTTCAGGATTTCCGGACTGCCTCCCTTGTCCGACATCGTAGTAAGGCTTCCAATCATGCACCCCCCACCAACCATGGAAATTTGACTCACCGAACTGATCGCAGGAAAGCTTATTTTCACTTTCCCAGACGCACTCCTTTTCACGGGTCCGAGGACACTTTCAACCTGAGACGGAGGCACCTTTCTCACGAAGTCTTCGATAACATCATCGCGCGCAATTCCGGCTTTATCTTCTTTCCGTATCACAGCAGGCTTCGGCAACGCGTGGAAAAGCCCATGAGAATGGTGCTCAGCTTGCTTCGAGTCGGATCCCTCATTTCGGGGTTTTGCGGGCTCATTTTCTCCAACAACTCTTGGCTTTGGGAGCAACGAGCTCAATTTCAACTTGCTTGATCCTTGAACCGGAAGCGGGACTACAGGCTCAACACGTTGTTCAGCAACAATGCTCACGGGCGACGATTTCGCGGAACTTAAGATCACGCATGAGCCACCTTCTTCGTCACTCACATCTGTATCACTATCACCGTAATCAACCAAAGCCATCCTAAATTTAAAAGACAAAACCCATTAGTGCCAAATTTCTTCGGAAGCGCATGAAAGCACATTCTCAAAATCATGCCACATAAATGAAGTCCGCGATTAAAACTGCAACGTCGAATATCATTCCATTTCAAAAGAAACACATATACCCAAAACGACTCTTCCACAACTAGCACCGAATAATCCTCTTCACTACACCGGTCCGCGGGAATCACCGAAGAAGGCTGGACGCAAAAATTTGTTGCAAGATTTGAGGAAGCAGTTTGGTATCCATGCAGACATGTCCACGACCAGCTGGCAATGACTGCTTCAACCTGAATAAAATACAAAATTCAGAAAGATTAAATGTATGCATTAAGGGAAGCATGAATGGTTAAATTTTTACGGTCGATAAATGCCTGACAATAGTTACGTTGATCGTCCTCATTAAAATATTTCCGTTCGGTCCTACTTCATCAATTTCTTTGGACCTAGTTCTTTTAGCGCAACTCATTGAATGTATTCTAACGTCTGTCGCCAAACGAGACAAAAAATGCAACTCCCGCTGAAATCGAATTTTCATCCTTTTATATTTCACCAACACAAAGGTGCGTTTTTTTCGCTAATTGCGTGCGAATGCATCGAGAAATTTCGGAGCCGAGAAAATTAGAAAAAACATTCATAAGATAGAATTAGCACCTGGATCACTCAATTTAATATTCGAATATTAGTCTATTTTAAATGGATTATAAGTTCGAATCATCGGAGACCCAGTAGAATGAACATTTCAAAAAACGGTAACACACAAAATGAGTACCTTTCGGCTGGAGGAATAAAAATGCGTTATTTCATGTGAAAACAAAAAATGTTTAAAAATCACAGCAAATTTACAGTAAATCTGTAATGTACCAGGAACCCTGTAGCAAGTCTAGCAACAGACAAGGATAAAGGAAGTTTGCGGTCGCATTTCTCATACACAGGAGCGACTTTCACGCAAAGGTTTTTATTTCTGATTTTTTATTCAAAACTGACATGCAAAATCCATAAATTCTAAGTCACGGTCAGTTGATGATTTAAAAAATAATTAAATCAAGGTAAAGCAATCCGTGTTCCTCCAAACTCGGATACTTCTCAAAAGAAAAATACAACCCAAGGGAGCACTTACGAAGCAAAGGAAAACTCTTCTCTTAAGTCTCGTAGATTTCCAAGAAAAAAAAATGCGTTACCTTTCGGCTTGAGGTCCCAGCGATCCAACGAACACGACAGTAACATTGACATCCTGCTGCGACTCGATAGCAAACGCAAGCCTGCGCGGGGAAACTCCATAACGCTCCAGATTCGCATCACTCAGAACCACTACGAACTTTTCGTCGCAATTTTCAAGAGCATTGACTTCCTTTGCAGCGCGTTCAATCGCAGCTATCGTGTTGTCCCCAGATAAACAAAATTGACTATGTGCCTCCATCATCTGAAGGATATCAAAACGTTCTTTCGGATTCGACGGTGGGGAGTGCATTTTGACAAGCGGCACGGATTCGGAATCGCCAGAGTGTCCATAAATATCGTAACGAATCTTTTCTGATGAGCCAAGAAACGCTTCCATCATGAGGAGAACAGCCTCTTGTTCTCTGCCCAGTCGGCCATCATAACCGTTGAAACTGCGGAATGCAAACAACTTGTTGGCAACCAGTTCTCGGTGACTTTCAATTGGGAAACACACCGGTACATGCTGCCTGAAACATCCACAACGAGGCGGATATGCTTTGGCTTCACCTGCGGAGTTCCCAATTCCGGTTCTTTCTCCGCCCTTCGTCTGTAGATTGTCTTCTCACCAGTCAAACCTGGATTGGAGAAAAAATATTGCATCTTGAAGAATGCTGCCTTAAATAAATCGGAAACGCTAAAGGAAAAGAGCAACTCAAGAGAATCATGCACGAAAAGGGTCAAGAGAATCATTCATATAAACGTGTACTTGCTCCAGTCCCAAGTAATAAGACATGCAAAAAATGAAAGGCATCTTTAAGCCTACTACATTTAGAATGCTCAAATATACAAAATTGATTCAATTGATCATATAAATCGTTTTTCCCCCAACACAAGTCGAACGGGTGCACGACATATGACGAGGGATGTAATTTACCTTCCACAATTCTGCCGTCATCAAGATCTCCTTGAGTTTGCAGCCTCACCCACTGACGCTCTTTATCCTTCGCTTGAAGAGTCGAAATGATAGTTCTAAGTTTCTTGATTTCGGGACCGATTCTGTCTATGATGTTCTGATAAAGCTGAGGTTTCAAAAAGAAAAAAATTAGTATTCGTATTATCACTGAAGTATTTTACATGAAGAGTCTCACGTGGATTTCCAGCGGATTCATTTTTATTTCTTCCATTCTCTTTTTAAAAGTTTTCTCAGCCAGTTCTCTGGCAGCGGCTAAGACTTCAGGAGGCACCGCAGCTTTCTCAGCATCAGAAACCTAGAAAATGAAGCCAAAGCGAAAATATAAGAGAACGCACAAAACTATGAATAAATTTAATGACGACATTACGCAACCTGAAAAACGTTGTGGCCGGAATCTAATCGATAGGGACCACCGACTCCTCCCAGACCAGCCGTATCTCTTCCACCAGTTCCTCCAGCCCAAGTATTCCCACCAACGTGAGGATCATTATTCGGATCAACTTTCCCATGCTTCGGTTCACTCACAGGATTCCAATTTGATCTGTGAATCGTGACCTGGGGCATTTCTTCAGGAACCCCTGCAATTGGAGGAAAATAGCACGCATGTATGTGAAATTTTTTTGGCCTTCCAGAAATACCAGCACTCACATCGCGTTTCTACGTAAAAATTAATTATGCACTACACCAAATCTTATTATTAAAAAATAATTTTAGAAAACACGGAAGGATGCTTACGAGTTCCGACCAGATCCCGCCATTTGCTCAAAGAAGTGGAAAGGCTCGATGGCGATATTTGCCACATGCGAAGGCAGCCAAAATTGTCAAGGGACACCAAATCACCAGGCGTGTCTCCACCATGAATGCTTTCAACGTTATCTATCCACAATTCATACGACGGCGTTGAACTGCCGAACCACGCACCGCTCTCCAAAAAAGAACTACGAGATGAAAACATCATTCGTCAACAGTCACCTGGCGCGTCTACATTTTTCTTGTTCTTCATGAATTTGTCATCCAATTTTCTTCGAAATCATATGATTGACGCCGGGATCCATCGTAGTTCACTCTATACCCGTTTCATTAAAGTTCGTTACTTTTGTTCAAGTCGGTTATTCAGAACACAAGAAAACTGCATGTCCAACAGCGAGATCGGACCTTCAAGAAACTTGAGGTAAACAAAAATCTTCACAGTGATGCATCGCATGGTCCGGAAAAAAGCCTGATTAAGATATGACAAACTAAGCTGGGTTCTTTTTCATTTTATTCACCACCTTCTTCCAAAAAGCAAAAAGAATTAGAAAAAATAAATAAAAACTATTGTTACGCAGTTCAACTGCTACGCTCACGAGAAACAGAATCCACAGAAGTTAATTTTAGCTAACTAATGCTCGACGGGGAATATCAAAGATAATCAAAAGGTGCTCACGTTGACTTCACAGGGAGACTCTTCACAGTATTGTTGACAATATTCACAACTTCAAGCCATCCCGCTAGACTAGACTTATCATTCGTTTCTTCGCCATTTTGCAAAGACGACTGCGGCCAAGCTCGAACAATCATTCCTTCAGATACTAGCATCAATGATTTTCGTCTTCCCGACCAGCTGGATTCTACGGGGGTTGGTCTTGGAAAACGGTAAACTTCGTTGGGGCTGGCCTAAACGAAGAGCAGAGAACGATCAGGAATTATGTACGAGATTCGTGGCATTTCAACAACTCAATTACCTTCAAGTCTGGGAAACCAATCGCAACATCTGCGAAGGATTCGTGGGCTGCAATAAGTGAATTCGGGCAGGAAAGTTTCTCTTTCACGGCCAGACTCAAATGCTCGTCAGATAGTCCAGCTGTCGACATTTTGTCGATGTTCAAACATTTCCCTCGGAAGTTGCTCATCATCTCTTCAAGATAATATCCAGCCACAGTGTTCGAATGCGATTTCGTCAAAAAATATTTTCTAGGGAAAAGAAAATCGACAATATTGTAAGCAACGAACAAGGGCAGCAACATCAAATCAGTAAATAATTCATACACCCAAGAGTGGCATTCAAAAAGTGAAAACTTCATCAATGACATCGGAACGCAGACTTACCTCAGCTTTTCATCAACCAGCATCCATGAATCCTCATCCAGGGGAAAAACATCCCTCAGCATAAAAGGCACAGATACCTCAGTATAAACTCTTTGCTCAGCATTAACGAATCCCAGACTCTGTCCCCCTGGGTGAAACAAAGTCACTTCACACGTTCCTTCCAGAGGAACCATTTCAAATTTTGGCCCAGGATTCGATGTCATTCTGAACGGCCGGATCACACTATCAGCGACTGACTCAACGGTGGACAATGTGAGTAACCTCGTGACCTCTTGACTCCGCGGATCCACCAAGTTCAAACTGTTCATCTGAAGACCAGAGCCAGTTTGAAGCATTCCCCAGTCAAGTTAGATAAATTTATGTCGAAGACATCGAACGCTCTTTCGAGTTTCGACACTCAAATTCATCTCATCTCATGATACTGAATATTGACTGTGTCATGTTTCTTATTTTTTTGAACAACTAATGCAAAAATTAATCCAAAAGAAATTTCAATCACGAGACCTTGACAAAAAATGTAGAAAAAATTGGGAAGAAAAGGGAATCAACATCATAAGGAATAAACAAACCTCAGAATCGTGAAGCAGAATCAAGGGTCCACCGTTGGTTGAAACTAGCGGTAACGCCTGCAATGTGAACCTCTTGGAGTTCGCAACCCCCGAAGTCGGGGTCCCCAGAGCTTTTCGAACCCTCAATGCGTTCATATCTCCTGAGTTTAAGTTCATCTCATAAACACTAGGAGGGTAAGATGTGGCCACGTAAACGAAGGTATCGCTTCCGTCACAAAACGTAGTCATGTCATTGACAGTGTCGTAATGTGTAATGGGCATTTGCCAGTAGGCACTTTCCTCGGTGAAGCCAGAAACCCGGGATTCCACACGGTCCAGAACACCCTCCGATGTTTCCACACGCACAGGCCCCTTGAAGGAATTTTAAAATGAAAAATTGTGCCTGAAGAGTGTGAAGACTTATACACACTAATCTAAGCCTTCGTTTGGTATAAACTAATCATGCAAAGGATGTCTGGTTTTCGTTTGGAAACTAGCAATTGAAATAAAATTCTTACTTCAAAAATGCAGGTAATCGGGTGAGCCAAAGAATTTATCTCCTGTTCCTCACCACACCAAAAACTGAAATCACATTAATTTTCCTCACGCCATCAAATCCTCGAAGGAAAAAACCAAGTACTCGTGCAATCGGCAATATTTGTTTAATTTTCAATTTTATTTCCTGCTCCTAACCACATGATTTATACAGGATGATTTTTAAATCTGTGTTTTTCTGAAAGCTCTAAGAGGTATTTCGCCCAAAAGGTTCGCTGAAACACACCACCAGTCACATCTGCAGTGATTTCTCAACATGTTATTCCTTAAACTTAAACACTTCGAAACCGTCTTTACCTCATTTATGAAAGCATTAGATAAGAATTATAAGCGGGTCAACTTCGAGAAAAAGGTACCTTCACTCTGATGGGACGGTGTTGCCGTGGAAGCAGTTTCCGCGAATCCTTCATAATACTCCATGATCCGTAAACAACTGGGTCAGGAAGCCTTTTCCTAAAATAAAGTTTACTTCTAGAATAAGCATTTCGGCTGACGCAATGTCGTATGGACAACGACAAATGATTCAAAAGTAAAACTTGACGCATTCCATAATACGCTTTCACTCTCGAATACAAAAACCCGCATTTCAACTCACAAAGAATAAGAACTTCTGAACTACATGAGAATATTTAACCAATCTAAACGTTCAACAATCAATCTCACTCTTCGCCAAGTCGAACACTCGTGGCAGTCGCAGCAATGGGAATTCCGTGCTTTGTCAACACAGTCGTAACTGCATCCATGTTCTCTTTCGAATATGTCTCGAAGTCAAATACATTCTTCAGAGCATCAATCAATCCATCCTCCGGAAAAGCCTGCAAGGCAAAAAAATGTCGATAAAATCTAAAATATACCTGTACCAAAGGGAAGATGTTTAATGAACTACCGTCATTTTTAATCCCAATAAAATTCTGAATTCTGTATACCGTATTTTACCCGATTACCACGCGCAATTTTTTTCTCGCAAAATTTAGAGGAAAAAATTTTGCGCGCGTATTAAACAGGCATACATTTTGAATAAGTTTTCAGAAGTTTAAGTGTACATTATATTTGATTCTAGGTGGAAATTCTGGACCAATCTTGACAGAAAAACTTTTTCATTTTAGATACAATTGAAAATTAGTGGAATTTAAGATCAATTCATGTCTAAATTCAAATGTAGAGTGCTTTCATTTTTTTTTTTTTAAATAAGTGTTAGTCGGGGATACAATTTTATGAACATTTTTGAATGAAAAACCCGGGGGTGCGCGTCTTACTCGAGGGTGCGTGGTACTCGGAGTAAATACGGTGGTACTGTACCTGCAGATGTTTCACAACTGCGACAGCTTCCCTTGTGGAGTACGGATAAGCCAATGTCCCTTCGTCAGCCAATGTTCGCAAGTCTTGAAATGCCCTCACGAGCGGAAGGAGAACGTGCTTCGGAACATTCGGACCGTACTGAGCCAGTAAACTAAGCTCACTTTCCAAATCAGGATTGTCAATTATATGGCACGAAAAAACGTCCCCCAAGACAGCAAAAAAATCATTTCCAAGGAAAGGAAATCCAGGACGGTTTGCCAAAACGATCATCCGGAATTCCGGATGCATCACAATTGCGTTCACGTCGTCTGTCCTCGCGTGAGACGGGACGATCCTACGTCCGTCTGATAATACCATTTCACTTTCTTCTACAAGGGTCTGAAAGATAGAGAATGATCCGATGCTTTAAAACAATCACGTAACACAAAGACGAGAAACTGCACCTTCAAGATACACGTAACTTGAGTCGGTGCTTTGTCAGCTTCATCAACGACAAGAACGTGCCCTTCCTTCACGGCGGTGACAAGCGGGGAATCCTCATAGGCGACAATACCATCTTTCACGGTCGGCTGGACAGTAAGACTGCTCACGGTTGTATCCCTACAACACCCAAATCCGATGATCATTTTGATCGCAAAAAACCAGCTGAGGAAACATACTTACCGATGCAGCTGGATGTATTCTCTAGGACGAGAGAGCAAATTCAACATCCTGTCCGCCAACCGGTTCTTCCCAACACCTTGATTTCCAATCAAGAGCAAATGTTCTCCCAATATGAAGTCACTCAACATCATTTCCAATGTTGCCAACTGCTGCTTGATATCGAAAAATTTCGAATATGGAACTTTCGCAATCGATGCTGGATCCGCCACTTTGACAGACACGTCTCCGATTCTCAAAGTTCCTTGGGTGATTTCCCACGTGATTTCTTTTTCTTGTTTGGCGTCCGAAATCAAACCGAGCTCCAACATTTCCGAGTCAAGCACTTCGCGAGCAACAGCGGGAAGAAATTTGTGCAAACAAGCCCGATGGACCAGATCAACTGGATTCGTATCCGGATGAGACTGTAAAACCCTAGCAGCACGGAGGAGCTGGCGAAACGATAGAGAACTTCCAAGAGACCTTTTCACGGGATCCTGGGATCGATTCAAACTTTCAGACAGCTTACAGATTTTTCCTAAGCTGTCATCCGGTTTAGCTCCCTTAGAAAATAAAACGGACAAAAAAGATCAAGACACGCGAGACGACGTTATTTCTCAGTGATGAACTCACCAGAGACCAAATGATATCCATTTTTTCCTTAAACGACAAGTCCGGAAATTCATGGAATAAGAACATCGACAGAATTTCTGAATTCAGCCAATCGATGCTGGACTCTGAAAGAAAAAGAATATTCTTGAAGTTACAGAAAAATATACCATAAATCATCCATCGAGAGACAAACTTGGGCTTTTTACTTCTACGTCAAACCTCGCTTCCCAGAATATCGAACGGGTGTCGCCTGAATTAACATTGACATCTATGGAGAATGCATAACATAAACTAACCAAAATAAACCATTCAGCTAATCCACAATTAAAAACCGCAGAAAAAATAATCGTGGCTTTCGTGACATCTCAGGCTGTCAACGAAAAGTAAGATCATAAATTGCTAATCGATCAGCTGTCATAACCGGGTACAATTATTTCGAGGGACAAACAAGATCCGCATTTTGATTCAAGAACTGTACATTATTTTATCCTGAATCGTTCAAAAGTTAGTAACTCAATAATTTAAAAACGTAGGCAAGAGGACTCCTCTCGCATGCTTCACGAAACATATTCAAACGATATACAGCATATACAGATGAATCGAAAAAAAAAACTCACTTGTTTTGCCACCAGGTCCTCCACAGGTTTCACTCACTGCGATCATCCTGAAGCTCGGGTGGCTCCTGAGAAGTCCTTTAGACGCCATGGCTTCATCGCTCCAGGAATATTCCTGTTTCCGCCTGTCGTAAACATCATGTCGGAGAATTCTGCGACCATCTTGAAGCTGAAGTTCTCTTTCATGTACAAGCCTGGTCAGAAAATAGAATACAATTTATTTTATCGCACAAGTCGAAAGAAGGCTACAAATAAGGCTCAAGACAGATGAAAAATATCACAACACTCATACCGAAATGATACGCGCGGGAGGCCAACTTTATACAGAAAAAACTCAGTTAAGGTGGACTCTCTCCACAATGATTTTTTTGGTCCCACAGGGTTCTATTTCCACGTCACAGGGGTTCTTTACAACGAAATTCTCTCTACAACGAACTTTTTCTCGTCCCCTGCATTTCGTGGTCGAGAAAGTCCACCTGTATATATCCCTCGACAAAAAGAAAATTTTCAAAAACGTAGCTCACCGATGAATTACATTAAGTGTACTTGGATGAACACGATGCAGTCCGTCTAGCACAGCTAGTCTACCATTCAGAACCGCAGAAACTAACGGCGAAATTCGCCAATAAGTGTCGCCGTTAGAACTGGTACCCCGCTGTTGCAACAAGTCTCGTGCTGTCATGTCCTGCGAATATGAAAAAACACATATTGATTTACGACAAAATGCAGCCAAAAACCTCGAGAAAACGTACCTGAAACATGACAACTGGTTCAATTTCATATCCCAACCTACGGGCGAACTCGTGAATAATCGCAGTTTTTCCACAGCCTTTCGGGCCAACCAAGCAAATATCATGCACGGAGTGGCTTTCAATCATTTCACTGAGCAGCTTTACACAACTTGGTGTGGATACAAATTTGGAAGATAGAGACTGATTCACTTCTCCCAGCAACTGATCTCCAACCGGTACCTAATCGATATTTGAATGCAAGCGGGTTGAGTTGTACAATTGTTTCGTTGAAAAACAAAAAACAGAAGAATCCCTCACATGGAATGAACTTTGATTGCTCAAGATGACTTCAGCGGCATTTGCACCCGTACGATTGACTTCCGACACGATATTTTGCGACTTTGGACTAGCGTTGAGTCCAAATTTCTCCAATGATTTTTTCACAACATGAACTTCCTGCTTCTTTCCTTTCGAAGAAGACTCTTTCAAGTCGAAGGATTCAACCGGGAACAACGTCCACGGGTACAATCTTCGCACAATTCCAACGATATCTTGATCCCCGATTCTGTTCTGCTTGAAATCCGCTTATACAGAAGGAATTCAGTACATCACAGCATGATTATAACGCAACGTACCATGAGTTGAACAGCAAGGGGTATCGAACCCATCGGAAAATGCGGTAATCCGAGCGTCCTCCATTCATCGGAGAGCATTGAATAAGCCCAAGAACACAGCTGCTTTGTGGCTACCGTATGGGTTGTACTAATCTTCTCCATTTGCGATACTAATTCCTGCATGAAAAATCGAGTCCTCCAGAATAACCCTTCAAAAATGAAATCTCCCGACAAAAATCACAGCGCATGGAATTACAGTCAACCTCGATAAGCAGCCATCACGATTGTTGGTGACGTTTGCGGCGGTTTAACGGGATTTTCAGTTTGAAGGGGGTTGGTGGTTTATCAAAAAGCTGCAATACTGCAATACGAAAAGTAGGTATAAAGAGGAAATAAAATCTGTTTTTTTTTTTGGAAAACTATCAAAATTACCTTGTGATGCGTGAATATATCAAGCAAATGTCCCCAGCAAGAAGCAACTTAAGTCATTTTTGTGTTCGTGTGTTTTATTATTTTTTTATTGGAGACTGCTTCAAGAAACTTGCTTCTTTTCGGTGGAGAAAATTAATTGGCAGAAGCCCATTTGAGTTGTCAATAACTTCGGCGGACGGCGTTTTAGCAGGGGTTCAAATTATTCCATCATTAAGGAAGGTTTAAAAAAAAAAAAAAAAATTGGCAGTTTCCGCAGGGAGGCGGCTTATCGGGGGCGTCTTAACGGGTTTGACTGTATTATTTTGTGAGAAGAATTTTCGAAGATGACCTTGTACGGAATAGCTCCAACATTACGGCATTGGAATCTGGACCTGAGAGGTGGGTCCAGAGGATGCCCAGGAAACGTAGGAACTGGAATGCCTAAACCGATCACAACGAAGTCCGGATGCACACGAGCCACCCGCAGCGAGTCTATCTTCGCTTTGCCATATTTCTAAAGCAGCAGGATGAAGGAAAATGAAGTACTTGAGACGAATTGAAATTCGAACAGCGGACGCCGAGCAAAATTTACGCATGAAACCCCACCTCGAGTAATTCGTCGTACCGCACCGGATGCATGAGGAAACGACCGTCTTCCAGTTGCATTTCTCTGTTTTCCAATAGATTATTTATAACCGGCAACACGTTCCGTTCAGCTTTCTCAATACCATCAATGATTAAAATTCGTCCATTCAACGCAGCTTCAATCACACTCTGAAAAAATGAATGCTCGTACATTTCCTGAAACATTACATGCATGCTCATGACAATTCAACCGATAACAGTGAATTCGTGTACCAAATAACGATCCTAATTCGTTTCAGCGAGTGGTTCAATGTTTTGGGGCGAGATTTCCCCGTCAAAAATGAACAGGGAATTAAAAGGAGCATTTCAATTCCAAAAATAATAGTATATTTTTCAATAGACTACTTTACTCTCAAAACCACTGTGGAATAAAGTTATTTCATCACAGTGAAAATTATCAACACTTTTTTTCAACAGGCTGCTTGATTTTACCCCTCACTATTGTATTGTACTATGGCAGTCTTTCTTCAGATTTTTACATCACGCTGCACCATGAATCTTTGGTATCTGATCTTGAACGATAGTGCGGAGGAATTTGCAGGATACTGCATAAGATGATTGTTCCTTGAACAACAAATCTTAGACAGTTGTTTGTTTTAACCAGAGATTGTTCGTTCGAACGGTTTCCCATCAACATATGCGTAGCGTACTAGCCTGGGGGAAATTATGCCTATACTGCATGCCTCTCCTCGAGTAGAAAACACATCATAGTCTTTATTCAAGAGGTTGGTTATTTCCAAATCCACATATGAAATTATTTTTGAGGAGAATCTGAGGCTTCTCCGATAGAAATGTCCCTATATTCTGGCATAGTTGGTACACATTACACAAGGTAAATTCTAATTTTTAAGCGTGTTGAATCTTTAATACTCATTTCGCGATTACATATTTTGTTACGTCATCTCTTCGTTGTTCACGTCGGGTAGTGCTCCGTCATTTTCGGGGGAATCACGGGTTTACGTTAAATGAGGCGCCAAGCGCGTGTCAACATACCTGGTCAATGAATCGAGTGCAACCATCTTGGATCTCCTTCCGCTGTTTCAGGTCAGCTTCAGTGGTATCTCTCGAAATCGGAACATATTCAAATTCACGATTCAAAACCGAACATAGCAAAGTAGCCAGCTGACGTTTCTGAGGACCCGGAGGGCCAAGAAGGAAAATATCCTGCCCTAACGCGACTTTCTGCGCTAACCATCGCAAATGATCCACAGCTGTTGGAACCAATTTAGTATCCGCGCCTGCGGGAAAATCAAGAAGAAGCTAGACAAAAATAAATTTGTGAAGGTATAAAATTCTTTAAAATTGAGTATTCTACTCACTGTACGAAAGGGGAACAAGCCATGGAAATTTCGGCGTCTTGGTAACTATTTTAAAGGTTCCGAAGGCGACCTGATCCTGGGATTGCTTATTGCCTGCGAAGTGAATACGAAGACATCCTGGCATTAAAAAACCACGAATTCCAGGGTCTCGGTAAAGATTGTAGTCAAGACGTTGAAAATACGTACTCGAGTGGAAAAATTTTCGTTCGGCTCTGAGAATTTCTACACGTTGTAAACGTGAACTCACGGACTGCCGTTTCAAGACTTCTAGCGACACAAGCAACGATCGCGCCCGCGCAATCCTACACCACATTTTGTAAGCAACAATCCTGAAGGGCAGGATGCGTTGCTACACCCTGAAAAAACCAAATATAAACAGAAAAACCGATTCTCCGCTTCCACTATACGCAATACGCATTCGAAACAAAAGTTGTATAGAAGCACATCCCGCAATCAAAGAACCAAGAATTTATTTCGATGACGCAGGTTTTTCAGCGAATGAAAGCCATAAATCTCCCGAATAGATAGAAGAAATTTACGGGAGAACGAGGAAACAAAAAGGGCATCATACAGAGGGCTCTTCAGTTTCTTCAGCTGATCTCCATCGCTTCACCAACGTGGTGCACCACGGAGCTCTCCACTTCAATAGGAATTATATTTGTGGACAAGACTGCCGTGGTACCTTTCTTGTACCGATATGTTCCCGACCTTCAACAAAGAACAACATGCAATCAATATCAAGTCAACAGCCAAACGTTTCAGAAAGACATTCAAAATCGTTGGAAAAATCCCAAAACCAAACATGCAGAAACAAAGATCATGAACGAAGTTCACATTTCAAGTTTATTCAAGTGAAGCCATTTTGCAATCGGGTTTAGATAACAGATGAAGAAGATGGAAAGTCAGCTCACGAGTATTACAGTACAGTACATCGAAGAGAAAGATTTCAGAAACTCTACGGAAGAGACTTAGTACGAAGTGCAGAGTGAGGAAAGTAAGCGCGAAAATGCAACGTTACCGACGAGGTTCTGGGCCCTCAGCCTTCTTTCCCGGAGGAATCACAACTCTAAAGAAAAGAACAAACTGGGTTAGGGGGTGCAGCGTGCAATTCAAGTCAACTCAGCAGCGTATTGGCTCGTAAAAGGGTCCGAAATAAATTCCCGAAATCAAACTAAAAATTCTCTCATGATATCAACGAAAAACTCATTACTCATCACAATACAGTACATAAACCTAAAAAATTACCGTGGACTTAGTATTGCTGAATGAACAAGAGTTACAAGACCACGGAAAAGTGAAACAACATATTCACACTCAGACGGGGTGCAGTTTACGGATAGAAAAGAAAAAACACGACAGGCACCACTGAAATAGTTACAGAAGCACCGAAAAAAAAAAACACGCAAAACAGAACCACAAAATATACATCAACACACAAACCTCCAAAGCGAGCCAACCCAGAGATCAACCAAACGGAAAAACGAGGCATTAAGGGAAACAGAAGTTACTAACCTTTCACCCTTTGAAACCGGCTGGTTGAATTTGTTCAAAACGGTAACAGAGTCCTTCTTGATTACCATCAAATTCACAACTGAACCTGAGCCCAAATCATTCATAATACCAGCAGTGATAGCATCACTCATCAATTTTTTCGCTTCTTCCTCTTCCATATCAGGTTTCCAGGCGGCTTCTAACATAGCGATGGCAGCCAAACTACCCGATCCCGTTGACGTGTATGGAAGTACCATGGCGCTCCCATGGGCATGAATTTCGGCCAAATATGGACCATGAAAATCTACCCCTCCAACGATGAAATATGCACTAATGTAGCCTTGGTATCGGAACAAAAGTTGCTGAAGAATCTGCTTGGCACAACGAACGGGGACAGTGCGACCTAGACAACGAAAAAAATGTTCACGTACTTCTCCTGCAAATTTTCCAAGCATCTTAATGGTTAATGCCCTCATGAAATTCATGAAATCGTCCGGATGTTCAGGACGATGAATTGAGTTCATCAACCCGAACTTTTGCAGTGTTTCACTGAGAATTGCTCCCACTTCTGTCCTCATACACCACGATCGAACATTTCTCGAAGGACTTTCAGACAAATGCCGTCACTTCGACAGTGAAGCTCCACAAACATTCGGAATAAAAAAATTCGAAACTCGGTGAACAAAAACTTCAAAATATTTTCGAAAGATTATGCTAACCCGTGTTGAGTCGGTGCATTTCCAACTGTGCCTCGACTGACTCGACAGTGTGCTGCATATCGGCAGCTGTTCCCGCACCAGCGCAACTGTCGCAAGAAATCCAAAAAATTTAAATTATATTGAGAAATAAATTTGCTGAGGTGAACATTTACTTACTAAATGTTCGGGGCCAGCCGGTAAATCTTTTCACACAGCTTATCGGCCACGATCGACCCAGCAGTTGCTCTGGTATCAGATCCCAGTATAACACCATCCTTAAACACAAGTCCTCCAATCGTGGTGCCAGTTTTGAATGCTTTGGGCAGAGTCATTCCTTTAGACTCCAACTTGGAATTCCTGCAAAAACGACAAAAACGTGTATGATTTTCTTCCGCATATCAACGAAAGTATGATTTTCTCAAGTAAGAGAAAACACTTACAACGGTATTTGGTGGCAGAAACTCTTCATAGAATTAAAATCTTGAGTCGATACATTCAAAATTTAAGCCATCCGTAATAGATGAAGAGTTTAAAAACACATACATTTCAAGGCTTTATAAACTGAAAAAGGCATCGGCAATCTGAACTAGGGAAACGGTTTTTTTGCTTCTTTTTCGGACTTCTATTTTATTGGCGTCTTTCCGACACCAATGCCTAACAGCTTCGTACATGCCTTCGTCGGTATCACAATAAAACTCTCAAGAATACTGGATACATACCTCATCGTATTCGAGAAGTTGAAGCCACTTCGCGGGATTTCCGGGACCAAAACGTTTGCCACCATCGTAATTTCGCTTATACCACTTCACGGAGGAAAATATGAATCTATGGAAATATTAAAAACTGTACTGTCATGCACTGAACAACAAATCTGCACACGGAACTTGGACAAGATTTTGCAAAAATTTTATGAAATTGTCATGCAAATCGTCATGCGAAAAAACCACTGAACCGCAAGCAGCACTGACGCGAGAGACAAGGAACCGGTTCACGATATCACGGCTTCTCACGTCTAATCAACAGGCATAGTTTTCATTCCTGAGTTCCAACGGCCGCCGACGTCGCAGCAAGTGCTGACCAAAAGAGCCAGTGGGAGTATCAGAAAGCTTCTTCGCATTCCACTTCGTCATTACAGAACACGTTTGAGGGGAAGTTCCGGAATTATCATGACTCCACTGCTCCGAGTTCTCGTCAGCTGGAGATTCGTCTTCAACATGCATAGCTTTGTACCTGTTGTTGACGTGACGCTTGAGTAAATTGAGTAGCTCGTTTGAATCGTCATCCTTGTCGTGTTTCTTTATCGGTCGACCCCCAGGTGACCTATAAATGATCACAACAAATTCAAAACTTCGTAGCAACCCTCAGGAGACAAGCACAATTTTATCCCGAAGAAAGTAAAGAGCTGAATTGGGCAGTGTAATTTTTTACTACTATGACTCACGATCAAGTTAAGGACATGGTTGCGAACATAGTCCAGTCCCGAAGCCAGGGAACCGATATTTTTCAACAGATTGTACGTGAACACTTACAAGGCTTGAAATAAGGAAGATTTCTCATATAGGAAGAGAGGGAAATAAAAAAAAGATGGCACTGACAGTTTAAAATTATATTGCGAGTCCCAAAGGTAGTCTATGGGGAAATAGAATGAGATGTAAGACGAGAAGCTTCTTTCCAAAAGAATGAAAAACCCTCCTTTGTCTCGGGGATCAATTTTGCGCAACGCCACTAATTCAACTACTAAGTGAACGTCAGAATTGTATTCATGAAAAATAGGGAGAAGAGGAAACAAAATGCTCACCTTTCGACCTTCCTCAATTTTACATCCTTCATTCCAGCTAACACTGCCTTCATGTCTGGCACACTCTTCGCGGTTTGCTTGGAATTTTCAAGACCACGCTTATTGATTTCTAATTTCTTCTTGAAACCGAACACCCCCGCAGGCATCGGCGGTGGAGGAGGAGGAGGTAGTGGTGGTGGTGGCGGCGGTGGCGCCGGAGGTGCGTTCTCATTCACAGATATACACATTGGTGGAACAGTCATTTTGTTGGGTATGCCAGACAACGTCTTCACTGCCGAGATATCTTCCAATGTTCTTGAAACTGAAGGCGACCATGTCGGTGTGTCGAAAACAGACAAGGGGTTCTCGAGCTTCAGGAAAACGTGGGAATTTTCTGCAAAAATATTCAATGAGATCGTGAATCGAACAAAAGCTGGAAATGGTGACAGAAATCTGTTTTTCAAGCGGACTTCAGAGCATTTTATTGCTTTCCCAGGAAATTCTTACATATTTTTTTAATGCAAACTTTGAATATAAAAGATACAATTTGAAAAATTATTCAGAACGAGTTGGTTCAACTCGTCGATCAGACCCTAAAGCGTTGAGACAACAAAAATTATAGAACCGGTCTTTGAATGAAAGTGTATCCAAATTTTTCATATGTTGAAATGCTTCCAAAATAAAATCTACTCGCGCAATCTAATAACGCAAACATTTTTAATCGTAACTCACCGCTACTAGAAGCGGCAACATCAACGGTCGACGGTAGGAGCAATTGAGCTAGCTTTTGAACACATTTTTCCACACGGTCTTCAATATCATGGCATCCATTACGCGTATTCACGGACTGTTTCAATTCACTCAATGCATCTCGTATTTCGAGCAAATTGAGTGTTCTGATACAACTCGGTGTCTGAAACGTTGCTTCAGAAATAGTCGGTGTCGAAGCCGTTTGCCCCTTGGGTGTGCTCGAGACGCGGCTTGATATATCATCCGAATTGAAGGAGCTATCGTGTGACTCAACGGAAAAGCTGCTTTTAAATAATAAAAGAGTTAGAATGAACAAACGTAGTTCTTGGTACAATCCGTCAAGTCGAGACAGAAGATTCTGGTCATGCATTATTTTTTCTCGACTCTATAAAATTAATAACGAAAAAAAGTTCGACTGAACGATTTCGATTATTTCCGAAGTTGAGGACGACACTCACCTCCCACGATGGATTATGGCACTGTCACAGAAGTTCTGCAGAACATCCTGTAAACCTAGGCATTCCGGCCTTCGCATCAATAGGTACTCGTCAATCCCATCGGCCTTCGACGAATCCGTACATGGGCGCGTCGGAAAATACAATTCTTTACGACGCTGGAAGAACGAAAAGCAACAGCGCACCAGATGAATCAAGACATCCGATGCAATGCGCAATTCGGGATCCGGCTTTGTCAACACGTGTTCCAAATACTCCAAAATGCTTTCTAAATTTATCCCACAGCCGAAGATACGAACAAGTTCAGCATGATTGATCATTCTACCAGAGTTGCGAACTTGGGTGACTCGTGCGAAATTCCATTCACATCGTCTGCAAAAGAGCAAAATGATATTCAACAATGTCAGAACGGAATGGTACACGATCCAGATATTTTCCATTAGCAAGATTTGCTTAGCGGTCAGTTTCAAGGCCACTTCTTTTCACAGCATAAATGGAAGAAATTATCTCAAGATTTGAAAGACAAATTATTGCTAACGGAATCACCATCGCATCGGAAACCGAACACTATTACTGACTGGATCCCTTAAGCTGACGCATAATTGATTCAGCAAGTCGTTCTTTTTGGTTTGAATTCACCCAAGCACCGGTTATGAGGTAACTGATTAAATTCAAGGCATGACTATGCGCTTTAACGACGTCTCTTGCCACGAGGGGCCGTACTCTGGCACTTCCATTCCGTCCCACAACCTCGGCATCCAGCAGTCGATGAAATCGAATGAGCACTTTTACCCGCGGGTCAAAAGTTTCTTCTACTAAGCGCTTTTTCGTGGATATCGTCCGAATATAATCAGTAGTCACGATTGGCACAATAAACGACGCGGTCCGAAAAGAGGACAATGCGAATGCTTCGCAATCCGTGAACATTTCTGCATCAGATTCCGGTGAATGCGGTAAAATGGTCTTCACAGGCAATAATTCAGTAAGTTCTTTTGCTAGAGGATAGCCATCTTCAGCAGCAAAAATAAGGACGAACTTACTTTGCTTATCAGATACCGAAGACGGAATTATTCGGAGCAAGAACCTGTGGTCTTCATCATCATTTGGTTCGAAGCTATGATCCTTCTCATTCGCTTCAATGATGTCTCGTAAATATTCGTGGCATTTCTCGAGGATATCAAACCGACCCTCCTGTTTCAGAACCTCAAAAAATTTGAATACAGTGATTTGCTTCTGGAGCTCAAAAAACACGAAGTCGATTGTGCTCCACTCTCTAGTGAGGCCTCCAGCATACACTTTGTTTTTGATACATTGTATGCTTTTTCCGCTCATTCCAAGACCAGCAGCAACATCCTCCCAAGTTCCTTGGGCTACAGGATTTGTGGCATCCATTTCGAATGACACAAGGCGTTGCAACTTACGACCAACTTCCAATCGGAACGCATCATTCAGTGTTATCCGACACAGATCATCTTTGCACTCCACAAAATGTACCCAAACGTCATCACACATCTGTGGAAAGAATCAGTTTTTCTTCGTCAATGCTTCTTTCGCCACGCGTTTCAAGAGAACTCAGGATTCCAATGCAGAAGTGAAGGATGGAAAATTGCCAACTGCTACTAAACGCGATTCATTTTCACTGAATACAAAAATTCAAAATGAATGTTACAAAGTTACAAATACAGAACACTAGGAAAATCAGCATTGCCCAGTTTTCACACGGTCCCAACGGAAAATGGATCCATCATCAACTGCAGAAATGAGGATGTCACCGTCAAATGAAAACACTGTGACACGAACAATTTTATCGCACTTCGGATGGGAAAGCACTGCGGAAGGTGTTGTGATCGTCATTGGGTCCTCAACATCCAGATCATAAATTAAGGTTCTTTTTCCATCTCCCAAAGCAAGCATTCGGTGATGGAAGTCGAACCCGAATTTCACAAACCATATGAAGGACTGAGGTCCCCCTTTTTTCTTTCTGACGTTAATTTCATGCATCAACCAAACATCATTGTTGTTCTGGTTCTGCGCAGCAGGCCGCCAGAACTTCAAATCATGTTCGCAGCTTTTGGACACTAGAGTATCCCCGTGCCAAGCTACACAATCAACATAGTTGTGATGCACCTCACGTGTCGAAAAATCCGGGTAATGTTGGGAGAGAGTTTCAAAAGCTACTTTTCCCTTTCGATCACGATACGAAAATGAAGCCTTTATTGCCTTTTGAACTTCGGGTACATCTAAGCGCCAGATTTTGAGAGAATGATCCAACCCACAGGACACGATCGCTGTACCAGAGGTATTCACATCTAATCCGAGTACCTCATCTCTATGACCGTCCACCCCACCGAAAATCGAAACCAATGCAGTTGTCTTCGTGTTCCATAATCTGAAACAAAAGATACACACAAGACAAAATTCATTCGTGAGACACAAAAGATCTAGATGTTTGAAATACCTCACGCTGTGATCCTTCGACGCCGAGAATAGAAGGGCAGGAATGGTTGGGTGAAATTTGACTTCATTCACGGCGTTTCCGTGTCCCGTGAATGTTTTAATTGGCATAGGTTTATTCGGATAACAATAAACGACGCGAATTATGCCTTTCTCACCAGCAAACGCCAAAATCGGAACGAATTCTTCCTCAACATATGACCAAGAGATAGAATAATAATTCTCGGCCGCATCTGGATCCGTGAAGACGAACTGCGGTTCCATTGAACCATCCTTTGAACACTTATACACGGAGACTCGATTGAATCCAACCGTTCCAAACACGGGATCACAATGTGGGGATAGATGATGATTAAAAGCCACGCCGAAAATGGCTTTTGAATGATCTTCTTTAACGTGAGATGTATACCGAAACTGTATACGGGTTGGCTTTTGGCTTGTCCGCTTCACGGACTTGCTTCGTGAGAGGCGATTCGCAGGGTTTGGAGTGGTGCTACGTGACGTCCCGTTGGGGTCAGTCGAAGCGCTTGCGACACTGGACCCATCATCCTGCTCAGACCATAGACAATTAAATCAAATGAAACTGTGTTCTGCCCTCACCAAAAAATCTAAAACTCACGTCTTCGTCAAATTCCATCGGATCTCCACGACCTTTATCCGTCATCCTCACTTTACAACAATCGGCATGCGGCACTGCTTTCTATCTGGAGGCACTGTACCACTGAAAATTTCTGGAGCGCCGCCATGATTTTCGTCACTTGTCATTTATACACAGTGCAGTGAACTGAAATCCGCGGAACCCTCAAGTTCAACCTGCTAGGATACCATGGAAAATGTTGTGCCAAAATTATTGACATTTACCATAATCACCAATTGTTATCCAAAAGATATCCCACTTCCCTCCAAAACTTGTATTTCTTTTACAAAACTTAGCTGCATCTGGGCAAATTTTTTCTGCCCCCCAGGATACCGCGGTATATTATTGGCACTCTTCTTTTTCAGGATTTGATTTCCTTCTTTACTTCTTTCATTTTTTTCATTCATGAACAGATTGTACTTGGCATCTCTCCTGTGGATCCTCTTAATTGAATATCTTATTATCCTACCTATTCCTAGGTCTTACCTCCTGCCTTATTCCTGACCTATCCTAGTTATTCTCAGTTTATGAGCTATTAAGTGCATACTTTCCCCAATAAAGAATTCCTGGACTATATGACTTGAGCCTATAGGACCTTCTGCTTGAGAGTCCAACTGCTTACTCAGACAACTACAGCCCACTTCACAGTGCAGCTGTTCTCATTTGTGCATTTATATTTCAGCAGCTCTGGCACCACAGAGTCTGGCAGACAAGTTCTCCAAACTTGTCCACATACCATCCAAATGAATTCCAAAAATGTCTGTCAAACTCATTTGGGTGATTTTCGGACATTTTTCGGAGAACTTATCTTGCTCACTGGGAATGTACGCATAAAAAGTGGCATACAACTGCATGCATACAATATATGTTAGTGTAAATACACATCATCTAAATAATACTGTAATGGCTGTTTTTCACAGTTGACTTGAGTTGCAATTGACTTTTGCTTTGATTGAGAAACATTAGACTCCTGCATACAAATAAGCATAATAGATGTGGAAGAAAATATATGCTGCGGCGAAAAATAAGACATTTTTGGCAATTTTCCTGCTGCGTGATCGAAGTTTCTTTTTAAATCATCGTCTTTATTGCGCGTTATTTATAAGTTATTGTTGATCCTGCTGATAATCTACTGTTTGAAGGTTGAAAATGTTGATGGTGGGTGAATCATTTACAGTAATGAGGTAACCCAGTAACGTGTGTCGGATGACTCGAACCATATCCGTGGGTTCCCATCAATGTGACAAAATTATGATTTGTGCGTTTTGTTTTGCGGAATTTTGTTTCCAAAACGCTTCATAGTAAATTATTCACTTGTTCCATGAACTCTCCAATAAGAACGCACAATGGACCTTCATATACCACGGATTATTATTCTTAGTTTTCACCAGCATATATTTGTGAAATCATGATTGATGGTATAGTTAAATGTAAGTATAATCCTGACATTTGAGCTAGTGCTTTTACCTTCCTTGTGAAATTAATAAATTCTTTAAATATGAAGATGAAAATTATACCTGTATGCATTAATTTTCCTCGGTTTTTTCTGATTCCGAAGTTTTAGTCCAAAATATTTTCCAAAATTCCAGTATTTTCCGAACAAACAATTTTGTCTTGAAGCAATTTTGTTTTGTGCTTGAGTAAATTTTCCCGCTGAAACGTTCCGAGATGCGGATTTCCGTTGCGTGAGTCTTTCGTTGTTAAGCGGATTTTCGTTGTGTGAATGTGTGAATCTTTGTTTATGCGGGGACTCATTGAATTGGGTTGTCGGAGGAATACTGCGGACAATTTTATGCAGAAAATTCAAGACTATTATTTGGAGAATGTGAGCGCGGGGCTTTTGATACGCGCTCAGGTCCAATCAGAAATAATAAAAATACAACAGACCTTCACATATACGCATATCTTCACCTTCATTTTTGGTCCTTTCTTCATTTTTTCTCTCGTTTTCCGCGGTTTTCTTTCATTGCTCATTTCTCCATTCTCCCAAAAAGTTTCTTTCTCTGTCTCGAATTGGCCTGCGTTCTCGAGTTGGCACTGTTGTCGAATCGTCCTATAGATCCGTTGGTGATGATGGCGCATTGGGTGTTGAGAAAAATGGTGGAAAAGGAAGCCAGATTAAGCGGACTGCTCGGACGCCAACAGCAGCAGCAGGAGGAGAAAAAGGCCGCGGCTCGTCGGTTTGTTTTGTGCGGTGCATCCGACGAGTGGGTTTTGGAGATGTGCACCACGGGAAGTGCTCAACAGTCCGCGAACAGCTCGCGTTGCATCCTCATGCGGGTCGAACCTTTCCGGACTCGTTCGTCGTGGTCCTGGTGGTCGTTGTGTGTCCCACTTTTAATCGGTGCGCCGTGACGATCATCTCAGCTTTGCTTTGTTCTGCTGTGTCTCCCATGTTTGTAAACTATATACATAGCCCTTTCTCACCTTCTCTAGTATATACCGCACTGCTGGGTTGTCGATCTAATTGTATGTGTAGTAATAGTCCCCTTCAGCTGCAGAGATCTCTCTTTTTTGTTCGTTATCGAATTCTCGGAGAAACTTCAAACGGATTGTTCTCTCAAACGGAAGACGATGATGAGGTGGGTAAGTTCATGCTGGTTTGGAAGTTTTCGCCGTCGTTTATTGCTTCGAGAACGTACATATTTCGCTGGCAATGGTGTTTCAATTCAAAATAACGTTTGTTCTTTGAAAGCCTTTCTTGAAGCATGAGTTCTCTTCGATGCAACGCGAGTGAAAGAACGGCGAAATAACGAATCGCGAATCGCAATTGAGTCACTCTGATTTTTCAAATTCTTACGGATAAAAACCAAAGGACACACAACTTTTTATCGGAATTACATCATCTGCGATAGGCGAGAATTCAAGAAGAACCTTTCTCAATTCTCCAAATATTTTGTGTGTGAAACAGAAAGATTAGCGCACAAATTAATTGGAACTGCTTCGGTTCCGCTTATTCGGCAGACGAGGGTCTTCATCGCAATCGAATTTTCGTAATACAGTACCTGCATTTTCAAAAGGCATACACATTCATAGGCTGATGAACGCACATTGAATCTTACACATGTACAAGTATTTTTGTTATAGCAGTAACAAGTCTCTGTTTTCTCTCTCAATGATTTTAAATTGATTTAAAACTCCTTATTATAAAGCGAATTTGTATATACAGCAGTTGATATACACATTTAATTTCCAAGTAACTTTTTTCTTCCCCAGAAATCTAATCAGAACGCATCAAATTTTCAAAAAGCGCCTTCCAGAGAGTGAAAATTTAAAAATAGGATACAGACATATCATTAACTTTTTAGGAAAAATAGTAGGTCTCTTTTCCCGAAAATATACTCTACTGAGTTTGAAATAATTTCGAACAGAATCATTTGCATTTCATTTCAAGCCAATTAAGCATTTGTGTCTATATGCAATGCTACGTATTTTCATTCGATTCAGCATCATCTATGTCTCCATAAGCTCGATCTACTTTATCTATACATATTTGAACCAAATTGAAAACCAAAAGACATAAAAACCAAATGAATTCGTTTATGCTGCTGCGACTAAAACGTAGATGCATGCGAACTTGAAAACTGTCAGTATTTTGTGATCCAACAACGAATAAGACAGGCTGAAAACTCTGGTACACTCATCTGCATCAGTAAATGTACTGTATCGTAGGAGTTGAGAATGATTCTGCTGTTCGGCAAGAAAAATGGATAATTTTAAACAAAGGGAACAAATGACGAAATGATTGAAAACTGGTTGTTCCCGAATACTGTACCCAGGAGTTCCGGAAATTATTTGATAATTTCCCCCTTCCCCAAAATAAATAATTTCGAATAAAGGGAACAAATGACGAAATGATTGAAAACTGGTTGTTATAAAAGATAAAATGTCAGTGATTTAATTAATTTTTGAGAAGGTGGAAATTATCAAATGATTTCTGGAACTCCTTTATTGGTATTCGGCGGATAGATGCTTGAGTCTCTGGCAGTCTGGCTAGCGATGAAGTTAATTTTTTATTTTATAATTTTCATTCCGAATATATTTATACATGACTTATTCCTTGCGTTACAATATTTCATTCGAAAAAAAGTCGCATGTGTGTCAATCCTAAAGGAATATTTTCCTACTGATTGATTAATCTGGCCGGGGCAAATTCGAATAAATTAGGAATTCACGTCGGCGAAAACGAATTATTTGAACTGCTGCTCGTCTAGACTCGAAGCACCAATACTATATAAGCAGCCCATCCTAAATGTTTGCATGGATCGTCCTTCCCTTTTTGGATGCTTATATAGATCAGCTGCACCTCAAAATTGAAGGCTGTGTGCTGACCTTTTCTAAGTATTCACGACCGCGTTTGGTGCCCTCCCCATTTTTTTTTTTACTGAGTTCCACCCAAGGGACCTCATCCCAAAAATGAGCTTAGGGATTCTCGTAGAGCTCATGCAGAGAAAGATCAAAAGAATATGGAACCCTGTTCATGTCGTCGGCATCTGTATCGGGCTTATCCGAAATTTGGTTGATAGAATCGGATCCTGCGAGGATTCTCTCGGGAAAATATTTGTGCCCAACAGTTTCGAAATATTTGGGGAATCCTGCAGCAGAAAGTTGCGCATCTATTGTGGTTTACGCAAGCGATCGATAATCCTTAGTAGCAATAAGATGTGCTGCAGGAGGATTCTTTCTTCAACAATAAGTACTGTATACAGTATTTGATAAATCCATCCCTAGCTGCATGAAACGCGAATTCTAGTTTTCCTTCGTTCCAGGGACAAAAGTTTTTAAATTTGAAAATTAAATATTATTTAGAAATACTACCCAAGGCTTGAATTAACTTTAAATTCAATTGCAAAAGGATTGAAATCCATTTCTATTTTCAAAGCTGGATTCAGATTTTATTTTCTGTTAGCCTTATTGAACAATATCTTAGTTCTATGATCAGTCCGAAATTGTCTGCCAATTGATTCTATTCGGATTTACACGTACAAATAATGTTTATGAAAAATTTACACGCGCGTGTGATGCAAAACCTATTTTTCGATCTATCTCGACTTTTGAAAAAAATGTGCGCCCGTGATGTTGAAAAAAATTTATATGAGACATAAAAGGTCCGTTCCAGTAAATGCGGTAGGTCAACTTCGCATTTTC